CATTATTAGTACAATAATATACAAAACTAGATCATCTGACACTGAAAAGATTATTTTAAAAACTTATAACACCATATTACATTAGCCATGCGTTTCTTTACCGAATGAACCCTATGATTTTGATAATTAAATGAACTCAATGATTTTAGTCAATGAACCTAATTATTCAACTATTCTCTTTTGTACTATGAAAACTAACATTTACAGAAAATGACTATGCTAACTGCTAATTTCTATACCAAATGAAATGAAACTTGAAGCCAATTTCAAACTTCCTCGTTAAAAAACTAGAAAATATTTACTTAATTCTGTCACATCATTTATTATTATGCAAGCTCCTGTGTTTCCTTTGTCTGACGGTAGAATTTTTACCATTAGAATTATATACACATGCCGTTTTGAATGAGTCTACATTATAAAATCATACTTAAAACTGAATCTGGCTAATATTACCAAAAAAACAGAAATTAGTTATAATATAATACTTTCAAAACAGCATCAAGGTTTTACCTTAATTGAGGAGTGTAGCAATTAAAACTCACCCAATATGCAAAACACTTAAAATCAAATTTTACAAGAAAACATGAGGAACCAAATGGCTTTAAAATTCACATGAACAGATAAAAATGTGAGAATAAAAATTTCAGATTTCATTTTAAACGACCAAAACTTACTGGATTTCCAGTAGGATGTATATACATTCTATTATCAGATTACAGTGTTACAGATTAAAAATCAATTAGTCATTACTTTAGAATCATGTTTTATTTTTGCGTCTGCCATAATTTTACTAAAGGTGCATGACAGTTCTTTTACCTTCTGTTTATTGATTTTACATTTTTTGCTTGTTTTGATTTCATTTATAAGAAGGGGATGGACCATCAGAAATTGTGTAAGTCGGACATGATAATGTTTACAATTATTTGGTTGTTACCGTAATGATATAATTGGTTATGCAAGTTTTTCGTTTATTATATTCTTTTTATTTCAATATGGCAATATAATAAAATAAAAGTGAGAATGGACATGTTAGCTAGTTACATGTAGTGGTCAAAATCTTCAGGCCCAATGTTCACTAGAATTTAAGGATCAGGATCAAGATAAGATGAAAATTAAAAAACTCAAATAATTTCCATTGATTATTCTCATAGATTGAATATTAAAACATTATAAAATTGGACTTGAAATATCATGTTTTATGACATTTTAGACTAACTTTATTGTTGTTTTTTTTCACAATATATAGGCATTTTACAGTTGATCCAAATATTGATCTTGATCCTTAGATTAATCCTAATTTTGAAATGATCAGTTTTGTATGTTTCGTTGTTATATTTAATTTTATCCCAAAATAGGGTTGTTTCTTTGCAAATCAGCAATTTTTCTACATTTTGTTTACAAACCATTTCATTCTAGCAAAACACAGTTAATTTTAGTGTTATAAAACAATTAATGAAAAATTTTAGTGTTATAAAACATGGAAAATAAAATTGTGATCATTTAATCCTGATATTTTCTTTGTTGAACACAAGGCCGGGTTATGAAAATGGTGTTTCGAGTATGAATATGCATTATTGCTCACATTTTAAGTATGATTTTTACTTCCAGAATATTTCTTATAGTTTGTTATGTGAATGCATGTCCATTCCTCTATTAAAACTCTTTATTTTTTTCATAAATTTAATTTTTCTTATAAAATATACACCTTGAAACATGATTTTTTTTTTCAAAACAGCTTAAATTACATTTTATTGATGTACATGTATATGATAAGTATATGTGCTGGGATTTATAAATATACCATTTATTTGGATTTTAAAGGTACATTATCCACAGAAATTATTACAGAAATCCACATTTTTTTTAAAAATTCTTTAAAACTGCCAAACATGTGTTTCATAATAAATTAATAATGGATTAAGAGCATGTTCGATATTCCACAACAGAAAAAAGTAGCACTGAAGATACAGTGTTGTGTTGTAAAGGTAGCAAAATGTAAACTTGAACATACAAATACTAATTCACTAAATATCTCATTTGCAAACAGAGAAAAATAAGCAAAAAATAGTTTATGTATATGGCAAGAATATTTTTTTTGAAACTGTGACAAGATACTAAAGATTGAAAGTTTCTGAGAAATAAAAATTTTCGTATTTCTATGACTTAATGGGCCTTTAATGATACAATTCAATTATAAAAATCATTATCACTCGGTTCTTGTTTAAACTGTGACAAGATTTCAAATATTAAAAGTTTTTGAGAAATAAAAATTATTGCATTTCTAAGGCATGATGGGCCTTTAACATGCTTATCCACGTGTCTGTGGATAATGCGGAAAGACTGCCATCACAAAAGCTCACCTTTGAGCTGCTCACTGGTCAGCTAAAAACAGCTTAATCAAGACTACTTTTTACACCAATTTAGTCTAGCAGATAGGATGGGGGGTCTGTTTACAGGAACCATTTTAAGACAGGAAAAAACAACAATGCTTTGGTCTGTTGACGCTCCCCCAACTTTGTATTTTGTATAAACATGGCCTCAATTACATGACTTTATACAGGATTACGGTACCCCCAAGGGCCTAGCAAACTGTATGCTGTCCTCAAAACTGAGCACCAATGATGTACATGATTACAATAGGTATAATTATCATGTCTGTACACAGCATTACTCATCATGTGTGCCCCATCACGACAAGACCAACATAATGGGTTTGCGACCAGCATGGATCCAGACCAGCCTGCGCATCAGCACAGTCTGACAAGGATCCATGCTGTTCGCTATCAGTTTCTCTACTTGTAATAGGATTTTGCTCTTTAGTGGTTAAATGTTTCATAAAATCTTACAATAGGAATGAAATCAATTGATACAGTTCTTGTGAAGATTGTTCTACAGGGATGAATGCTCTACAGAGCTTACACTGTATTATATTTATTACATTATATGAGCCGCGTCAACACAAAACCAACATAATGGGTTTGCGACCAGCATGGATCCAGACCAGCCTGCACATCCGCGCAGTCTGATCAGGATCCATGCTGTTCACCTACAAACCCTATTATAAGTAGAGAAACTGATAGCGAACAGCATGGATCCTGATCAGACTGCGCGGATGCGCGGGCTGGTCTGGATCCATGCTGGTCGCAAACCAATTATGTTGGTTTTGTCATGACACGGCTCATATATACTTCAGGAAATTTTAGTTTACCGGTAATGTAATTTCATTGCCTATAAGCAAACATTGAAATAAATATATATTTAATTTTCTTAATACTATATACATCATCTTGTCTGACAAGAGGTTTAAATTTAATTGAAATATTTTTTTTTTGCAAATCACACTCCCCATGATATTTCATATCCAAGATAAAATATGCATTTTTCAAGCATTTAGGTTTTCTTTTAATTTAAGTATTATCTTTTTTAACAAAAATTACCAAATCTCACTATTCCCTTTAGTAGTTATCATAGTAAGGAACACAAAATGACATTTTTTAAAAGTTGACGAGTTTGACACACATGTATTCATTAATAAAATAAAATGTCAATGACCTAAGAAACAAGCTGTACATTTTCAAATATTTAATACTGATAAATCAAAAAGAAGATGAAAATGAGTTCTTATCAGGCCAGTTGGCAAACACCAGGAAAAGCACACTTTACCCCAGTTACAAGTATTTGAGATGAAATCACACTATATCTGGGTCTTTATTAAGATTAAATTGTAATATAATGCCAATAATGTACATGTTACATTACCACAGAAGGCTATTTTTAGAAACAGCAGTAGGTCACTGTGTCAAGCAACATTTTCCTTCAATATGTCAGACAAATGCATCTGCATATGGTTTCATCTTTAATTACAGATTATAATCTTCCATATGCAATAATAACACGAGCATAAGCACAACATATATGTTTGCAAGTGCATTGCACCTGTATGTAAGGCAACTCTTACTAGTTTCTCTATTTAAAATCTGCATTATTACCTCCCTTGAACACATTACAATTATCACTCTTATGGAAGGTGTACCAAACTTATCTATTTAGTGTGAATCACAAATTTTAGCAGTAAGTTTAAAATCAATTTCTAAACAAAATCAAAACCACTTTATCACTGATTTCAGTGTATCTATGGCATTAGGCCCCTTATCAATTTTATGAATTTCAAAACTTATGTTATAAATTTAACGTAGATTTGAACATAGATTTGAGATTAAGTGATTTACATAGGATTCAGTTCTACTGGCAACAAGTAGTACTTCATCAAACACTATATTGCTTCAAACTTTTCATTTTTCATAAACAGATAAAATTTAAATATTTTCATATTTAGATTTAACAGAATTGATTATAAGAATATATATTTTTGTATCTTTTTTTCCCCTTTTCTTAAATTAAATGTTTATACCCTAGATGAAATAAAGTATGTCTTCCATGGCTCAGAACAACGATCAACAATGCAAAGTTCACAGGACACAGCCACCAACACAGCCCATTTTGATAAGTCATATTCTTTCCAAAAAAAACCCAAATAAGTTTAACATCCTCCAAATCTGTATATATATGGAAACTTCCCAAAATTTGGATACATTGCCCATGATTCATGGGCCACAAAGTCGAAGGTCATATCAATACAGGTATGAAGTTTTAGCTTGAAGAATGAGGATGTTGGTGGTGTAGGTAGTTTTCAATCCAGATCACGACAGTAAGCTACATTGAATTTACCAGGGCAACAGTTCAGCCACCGCATCGTTCCTGGGCAGGCTGTCAAGCAGTTTACCAGTACTAGCTGCCTTCAATTTAGCAAGGAACGTAAAATTCTGTACATGCCAGAGCAGCGGTACAGTGCGAATGACCATAGAAAGGATTTCATGATTAATTACAACAATTGTCCGGGAATCAAACCCTGGTCGCCTGATTCACAGTCCAACGTTCTACCTATTAAGCTAACTGGACGGCAAAAACCCCACAGATCTATGATACAAGAGTAAGTTCAGTTGAAAATTAAGCTTGTTTTTTTAATTGTTTTCAATAAATATTCACATTATAATGCATTAGCCATTACGCATTAAAATAGTTTGTATCACTAACATTACCATTTCGAAAATGGGTACATTTTCCATAATAATTTCATATACTAGTTTTTACAAAAACAGTAGAAATGTGTAACAAAAGCATACAGATTCATAACAATTACTCATTAATGAAATCATAATCTGTTCTAGCATAATTATTCAAAATCAAATCATTTACAATCATTTTAACTTTATTCACTGTTAATAACAAGATGCATTTTTTTTTGTACCAGCTACCAGTTTTTACATTCCCATATCACAGTACAAAATAATTTTTCGTTAAACACAACTGTTTAAAAAATTTTGTTAATCTCTGCACACTGTATTATCCTGTATCATCCTGCATTTTGTTATCTTGTGTGTGAACCTCGATTGGTTTAGGTGCTACGTACGAGCCCATACCAGCAGCTCTATCAGCCTCCTCCTGGGTATAGGGTTCTACTGAGAGTGCCTTAATTCTGAAAAAAAAAAAGGAAAAGTTATTTGCCCATTTTAATAACTTTTCTTCACACCCAGTCCTCAGAGATAAACATGTAAATTAAAGCTGGTTTAAAGCATTATTTCAAGCTTATTGCTATTAAATTTTACATTACAATAAAGCTGCATGCCTCCAGATGAGCTAAAATATTTTTTAAGAAAATCAAACTACAGAAAAATATATAGAGGATATTTGTTTGTTTCAGTGTAAGATCGAAAAATATTTCACCGAGTGAACACCAGATGCAATATTTTCCACGAGTGGCGTAGCCACGAGTGAAAATATAATAGCTGGGGTTCACGAGTGAAATATTATTTGATCTTACATGTAAAACAAACAAATTTTCTGTTTATTTCATGATTTTTTAACGATTTTTACACCATTTTACTGATTTTTGCCGCGTAACGTCATGCTTTTATCTTCATGACGTCATCAAATAATGACGTCACAATGTTGAAGCAAAATATAATTCCATGATTATTTTTAGATTTTAGATGTTTTTCAGCACAATGTTCGTAAATATTTACGAACTACAGTTATCACGTACATTTCTTTTTATGATTGACTACATTTACGCTGAAAAAAACATTCATTAATGATAAATATTTTATTTTTACGCCAAATATAGTTCGGCTACTGTGAAATTATATTTGGTAATCATTACTGTGAAATTATCAGAATATAATTAACCGTTATAATTCAGTAATCTACTGCAAAACATGTAATAAACTAATATATTTAGAAATGTAATAATTTATGTTTTGTGTTATTAATGCCTGATCTTAAAGTGTTTAATTGAGTGAGGGCAGTAAGGGCTTTTTTTACATACATTGTACTTTGACCTCTTTTTGGTAATTTACGTGGAATTTAAGTGCTGTTTGCAATATGTAAATTTCTTTCTTTGGTCATTTCATAGAACATGTATTTTCCTTTTAAATACATTTTTTCAAAACTTTTATGAAAATTGGCATGAAGCATGCTGCTTTAACTAAAACATGTATAACTTTATCCACTGACAGAGCACATAATAATGAAAACTGATACACGTGCCTTATGCACCATTATCTTCCATATTTTCTATCAAGACAAACTGTGTTTACATATTTTAGATGATTTATACCTAAAAGTATTCATTGAGACCTAGCTTCTATACATAAGACTGCTCTTGTATTTCTACTGACAATGCTTATTTAAAACTGCTTAGATATATTGTTAACATAATATGAGTTACAGTTGTTTCGCACCAAACCTTCGATATACTTTTTTTCTTTTCTTATAAACTAATCATTACAATTAATAGGTTTACCAGAATTGTTTTATTTACATGTACTTTGCTTATACCAGAGTTATAGGAATATGCAAACTGCATTTATTTATTAGAAAATAACTTAAATAAAAGATACTGACCTCCTTTTGTGAGGTTTGCCTCTAAAATGTTCCTTTAATGCCTGTTCATTTATACAATATTTCCTGAAAATGAATAAACGAATATATCAAGTCTTATATTTTTGTAAATCACATATAGAACATTTATCATCTAATCATAGACTTGCTATAGGTCCATAACAAAGAATTGATCCCCTGGCTCTAACTTGTTATAGGTCCATAGCAAAGAAATGAGGGCTCCAACTAAGGCTCCCACATTTACAATTTTTTTTGTAAACGTTTATAAACAATTGCTAAGAACGAAATGATGCTACTTGGTGTAAAAATGTATACAGCGGTACTGATTTTGCTAGTTGTAGAGAACATTAGTACTTCCATGTAATTCGGCGCGTCCACCAAATATGATATATCTTTTACTTATTAATACAAGTATCAAGTTAAATCACTCTGTAAGGCTATCTAACATATGTATGCTCGCCAGCTCGCAGTGTGTGCTGCCTTGAGTTATCCCTCGTACTCTAATCGCTATTGGATATTTCAAGTGTAATAATCCACTCTGTTAACTAAATTAATATCATGCGAGTTAATGTCTCAACGAGGAAGCACTCTTAGAAATATCTAGCGCTCTGGTTTTAATAACTGTTGCTAGAGCGGGTATTGTAAACCACCATTGCTCGTTTTATTACTTTTGTAACTCAACCAACTGAAGAAAACCCAAATCCTTGAGGAATAAATCACTATATATAATAACTTTGAGATAAGGACAATATGTCATGTGTGTTGTGACTCTAACACTCGATAAAACATATTGGGAACTGACGTTTTCTCGACTCGATAAAATCCAAAACGAATCCGTTATAACTTTGTAAACCGTTGAGGCGCCTTCCTCCATACATATTAGTTTTGGTTTCTGTCATTAGTGATAAGTTTCTGTTTAATAATGTGTGTGTCATCTGCGCAGTCATAATGATATGGTTTTAGTAAAGAGATGACTAATAAATAAGATCAATCGTATTATATGTTTCTCGAAAATAAGCGTGTATACGGCTCGACTAAAGAGATGATATTAAAGCGCTTTGCCATCAGTCATGAGCAGAGTACCATCCTGCGCATTTTATGATGTGCCTTTTTCTTATATAAAATTATGTAATACATCATAATTAATAATCTGTATAAATATAAATAGGTAAAATGTTTTAAAAGTACATTTTGTTAAATTTTAACTTAAATAGTTAAGATTAATATCAAATTTTTTGTCTTTAAACATAGGTTTCAAATATTTCAATTTTATTTTTCTATTTTGAACTTTGTTCCAAAAATTGTTATTTGGTTGTATTTTATTATAAATTTCCTTAAATAAGCTTTAGAATTCTAAACATTTGCAATTGTTATTTTTGGCAAATGGTTTCCATTAGCACCTTTTGTTCTGTAAAGGATGTTTGTCATTGTGTTAACTTGTTGGCTTTTAATAAGCTGATAGGTTATCACCTTGTTTAGCATTAACATAAAATTACTACAAAAACACCAAAGCTGAGAGATTTCTCAGTCCAAATGGCACCTCCCACTCTTAACTTTGTAACAATCTTGATTGTTGGACCAATCATCAAAAACCAGGTTCCGAAAGAACCAATCGTATGTTGTACCAGAAACAAAAACAAGTTTTAAAATAAGAAAATTTTAAAGCCAAAGTATCATTCTTATGCGATACTTTGGACTTAATAAATTTGTTATTAATTAAAATACTGTCTACGTCATTTCCAGGTATGTACAACATAATATATTTTTCTTATTGTTATAATGTAATTTTCTTTGTACTTATAAATGATAAATGTAAAACTATTTGAAGCAATAATCAAAACTTTATTTTTGATCAATTAAGTAATGACATTTTTATGTAGGAAATATATCTTATTCTTACATTTTTGTGAAATTGTACTCTATCTTAATTTTTGTAAAATTATATAACAGAAATGTTTTAAGTCATTTTATTTCATAAAATATTTACTTGTTTTAAAAGTAATAATGTGAGTCTTTATAAATAATAAAATAGGAAAGCTAAGGGCTAAGCTATTTAGTATTAAAAACAAAGACTCACTTTGCTAAATTGTTCAAGTAAATATAAAAAGAAATGTTTCTATCAATTTTTAAGTAACTATAGAAATCTATTTCTATGTTAATCTATAGTATTTTTCATATAAATGGTACCTCTCATATGCAAAGCTTAATTCCCCATTTTGCCTTGTATTATTTTAAATAAGTACCAATCTGTTAACATGATATATAAAATACATGTAACTTGACATTATCATTATGTATTATTTGATATGCATTATAAACTTTTGTGTTAAAAAATAATATATGTTTACAACATTTGTTATAATGCATGTATCATTCTTATGCGATACTTTGGACTTAATAAATTTGTTGTTAATTAAAATACTGTCTTCGTCATTTCCAGGACAAAAACGACTCCGACCTAAATAGGTACCGCCCCGGGCTCATTGTCGGCCCAGTTGCTTGCGAGCGTAGTAAAAACGCTTCATAAAATTCTGGTGGAGGTAAGATCCCATGTCTACACCTCAAAATAGTAACTTTGGGCATTTCCTGAGGAGTCAACCAGGAAGGAAGACCAGAGTAGTAACTGACGCAGTTACACCACAGACCTCAAAGTCAAAAGGAAGAAGAAATATTAAAGCTGCTGACCAGGAACCATCACCTGTGAATCCTTTGCTGGAAACTACAGCCTTTATTGAAGAAGAAGTAAGTGAGGTTTCCATATCTGAACAAATAGAAATAGCAGAAATGAGTCACCCACACATCACAATAGAGACATTTAGTGGAAAACCTGGAGGCAGAGGAGACCAGTGGTTAAAGACATACACAAACATTTGTAAGTCATTTTATAATTACAATGATGAAAAGGTTAAAGCTACGTTCCCCTTTCATCTAACAGGACAGGCTAAAACGTGGTACAGGTCATTGTCTGATGATGTGACAAATGATGCAGATGAACTAATACGCCAGTTCAAGGCCAGATTTGATGGTTCTGATGGAGGATTTTCCTTGGGAATGGTTCGCCAACTACCAAGCGAAAGTGTGCATGAATACACTACACGTTTCCAAGAAAGTTACATTGGTTCCAATATGCCAGATAAATGGATGATTTCAAACTATGTTGACGGTCTAATTCCAACTTTACGTCGCATAGTGAAACCACAGGAGTTATCGTCACTTGACATGGCACGACGCGCTGCCCTTAGAGCTGAGAATAGTGAGTCGGACAATGTAAGTGTAAGTGCTATTTCTGGATCAGAGACTGATCGAAAACTTGACACTCTCATTGAGTTAATTACTCATCAGATGCAAATGAGTTTGGAACGCCAACATCAAACTATGGACCAGCCTCAGAAACCTCCCAGAAGCCAGATGAGAAGACAAGAAGCAACAGATTTCACTGAGAAAGGTAGGAATCCTTATGCTTCACGTAAACAAATTAATCATAAATGTAGGATATGCTGTGAGACAGGTCATTATGAACAAAATTGTTCCAACTCTGAAGAAATTAGAAAAATATATTTTAATTCAAAATCTAATTCTAATAAATAGGGACTCGCGCCTGTTCATGGGCACATGTCTATGAATGGGCACAAAGGGAAACTTGAAAAGGATTCTGATAAGCCTGAAACTGTTTCAAAGGTTCCATGTCAAACTAAGCAGAATCTGCCTGATACTAAACTGTCAAATTCTGATAAAAATTCAAATTTAGGTGAAAATGCAAACACAGTGTCTCATATTAATTTAACAGCTCCGTTACATAAAAACACTGTACAAGTCAGAGTATTAAGTGCTAAAACTCAAGCTTTAGTTGACACAGGAGCTGGTGTTTCAATTGTTTCTAAAAGTTTTTTAAACAAAGCCAATTTTAACTTAAGTGCTCTAGAACCTTCTAATTTAAGAGAAGTCACTGGTGTAAGTGGTACAAGAATTGATGTTTTAGGCCAAATTGAACTTCCAATTGTTATAGGTGGTCTATGTTTCCCATTTAAATTTCATGTGCTAGGATCTGCTCACCATTCACTCATAATTGGTATGGATTTTCTTTCAAAAAATGAATGCACTATTAACTTAGGAAATGGTCGTTTATATTTGAAAGAAAATCTAGTTTCCGCAAATTTAACTTTAAGCTCTGGGTGTGCTAAAACAAGCCAATCAGTATGTATCCCAGCTAAAGAAGAAATTGATATCCCTGTCTCTATAACTAGGGCTTTCAAAAATGAAGTAGTGCTACTGGAGCCAGTTCCAACAGATAAGGAATTTAGGGCTGCAAGATGTCTTGTTAAAACCCAAAGATCCAAATATTCAAAATCAAAACATCAAAGTGCTAAAATAAGGTTACTAAATCCAACAAATGAAGATATTTATTTACCAATAAATTATACTTTGGCTTCTGTAAGTAAGGTTGATGCTGGAAATGTTTTGCCTTTAGATGCAGAAAATTCCGAAGAGGTTAATGTTATCTGTGATGAGTCAGGCAATGTAAATAAAGATGAAGAAATTGAGTTTCAAATTTCTAACTCAAATCTTACATCTGAACAATGCACTAGACTCAAGAACTTTTTAAATAAAAATACAGATATTTTCTCAAAATCAATGCAAACTTTAGGCAAAACAAATATTTTCACTCACAAAATTGAAACAGAACCTAGTGCTAAACCAGTACACATGAACTACTACAGAACTGGCCCAGAACAAAAGAAAGAAATATCTCGTCAAACTAAAGATTTTGTTGATAATGGTATTGCAAGTCCCTCATCTTCTGTTTGGAACAGTCCGGTGGTCCTTGTCAAGAAAAAAGATAATACTTGGCGCTTTGCAATTGACTACCGAAATCTAAACAAGATCACCAAATCAATGTCACACCCCTTACCTAGGTTAGAAGATGTTTTTGATAGTATAGGGGAATCTTCGGCCACTATTTTTTCCACTTTAGATCTTAATTCGGCATACTTTCAGATGGAGCTTGATCCAGAAACAAAACATAAATCAGCATTCATAACTCACGAAGGCGTTTTCGAATTTAATCGAATGCCGTTCGGTTTAAAAAATGCACCAATGTCTTTTCAAATGTTAATGTCTCAAGTTTTACGGGGTCTACATTGGAAATTTGTCTTATGTTATATAGATGACCTAATAGTATGGAGTCGAAACTTTGAGGAACATTTGGACCATTTAAATCAAGTCTTTTCAAAACTACGAGAAGCAAATTTAACTTTAAAGCCTGAAAAATGTGAATTTGCAGTTGACAAGGTTTTGTTTCTGGGACATTTTCTGTCTAAAGATGGTGTTACTGTAGACCCAGCTAAAACTGAAAAAGTACAAAATTTTCCTGTACCAAAGTCTAAAACTGAATTGAAAAGTTTTCTAGGCTTATGCAATTATTATAGGAGATTTGTTAAGGGTTTTTCATATATCACTGCCCCTCTGAATCAATTATTAAAGGGAGAGAAAAAGAGAAGATTCAAACATGGGGAATGGACCGATGAACACCAAAGAGCCTTTCAAAAACTTAAAAATGCACTAACGTCCGCCCCAATATTAGGTTTTCCCAACATGAATAAGGAATTCTTTCTCTCAAGCGATGCAAGTGGTAGTGCGCTTGGTTATGTTTTGGGTCAAAAGGATGAAACAGGAAAGGAATGTGTTATAGCCTATGGGGGTCGAGCACTTTCTCGTGATGAGCGCAAGTGGTCTGTGACAGATCAAGAATGTTTGGCAGTTATTGAGGGTATCAAAGCGTACCGTCATTATTTGTCACACAAAAAATTCGTAGTCTACACAGATCACAAGGCACTATCATATTTAAACAGCATTAAAGATCCAAAGGGCAGGTTAGCTCGATGGATTATGTTTCTTGAAGGCTATAATTTTGATATAATACATAGGCCTGGAACCCAAAATGGAAATGCAGATGCAATATCCAGAATTCCATACGACTTGAACCAAAATACTGAACCTGATAATGTGAATTCTATGTCCGTCCCAAGTCAAAATCATAAAGTCGAACCAGTTTTGAATATTAACTGTGTCAACTGTGATTCTAAATTGAACAAAGAAAATCCATCACCCTTGTTAGAAAATAAATGTGAAGCAAAATTGGACAATTTAAATACAAATGAAATAACTCCAGACCCAAATATTGATAATGACAGTCATTGTGTAGTTGAAGTTAACTTTGAATATGGCCATGAAGGTTCTGTTTGTTTAGTTGACAATGTCGAACAAACAACAGATTCTGATATGGCTGAACTTCAAAGAAAATGTCCAAACCTCAATTTCCTCATTGAATATTTAGAAAATAGGACAATGCCTGATGATGAAAAGAAACAAAAAATGTGCATTAAAGCAGAACAACAGTTTGTTATGAAAGATGGCCTCTTGTATCATTATTATCAACCAAACTTTAAGGGTAAAATAGACCCAACAGGTCATTATTTCTTTCAATTAGCCTTACCAAAGTGTAAAATTAGTGATGTTCTCTTTCATTACCATGATAGTTTAGCTGGTGGTGGCCATTTTGGTGTTACAAGAACATTCTTTAAGGTTAGGCAAAAGTACTGGTTCCCAAAAATGCACCAGGAAATAAAAAGCTATGTAAATGCATGTAACTCATGCCAACGCACTAAAACAAATAGGCGCCAACAGCCACCTCCTTTGAACCCATTACCTGTTGAGGACACTATGAGCCGCATTCATATTGATATACTGGGTCCGCTTCCAAAGACTAAAGATGGCTTTCAGTACATATTACTCATAATTGATAGTTTTTCTAAATGGTCAGAAGCTTTCCCACTTGTAAGTCAGAATGCACAAGAAGTTGCTAATGTCCTATACAATGAGTTCATATGCCGGTATGGTGCCCCACGTTCCATATTGTCCGATAGAGGAAAGAATTTTATGTCCAAATTGGTAAATGCACTCTGTGAACTCTTTCATATCAAAAGATATTTCACCAGTTCCTATCATCCACAGACCAATGCTACTGTGGAACGTGCTAATTCCACTCTTGCCAAAACCTTGGCTGCATATGTGGATGAAAACCAAACAAATTGGCCCAAACTTCTTCCTAGTGTGATGATGGCATTTAGGTCTACCCCCGCCACAGAGTCTACTGGTTTCTCGCCCTTTCAGTTGGTCTTTGGCAAAGAAATGCTTTTACCGGTAGACCTTGACTTACTTCCCAAACCATCTTTGCCTCAACATACTAAGGAATTCTTTGATGATCTTTTAAGCCAACTTAAAATTTCTCAAGACATTGCCAAAAAGAACATGCAATTTATGAAGGAAAAAACAAAAATAAGTTTAGCATTAACATAAAATTACTACAAAAACACCAAAGCTGAGAGATTTCTCAGTCCAAATGGCACCTCCCACTCTTAACTTTGTGACAATCTTGATTGTTGGACCAATCATCAAAAACCAGGTTCCGAAAGAACCAATCGTATGTTGTACCAGAAACGAAGACAAGTTTTAAAATAAGGAAATTTTGGAGCCAAAGTATCATTCTTATGCGATACAATGGACGTTATAAATTTGTTATTAATAAAACACTGTCTTCGTCATTTCCAGGTATGTACAAAATAATATATTTTCTTATTGTTATAATGTAATTTTCTTTGTACTTACAAAATTTAAAGATAAATGTTGTGTGAAGAAATAATGAAACTTTATTTTTGATCAATTAAGTAATGACATTTTTATGTAGGAAATATATCTTATTCTTACATTTTTGTAAAATTGTACTCTATCTTAATTTTTGTAAAATTATATAACAGAAATGTTTTAAGTCATTTTATTTCATAAAATATTTACTTGTTTTAAAAGTAATAATGTGAGTCTTTATAAATAATAAAATAGGAAAGCTAAGGGCTAAGCTATTTAGTATTAAAAACAAAGACTCACTTTGCTAAATTGTTCAAGTAAATATAAAAAAGAAATGTTTCTATAAATTTTTAAGTAACTATAGAAATCTATTTCTATGTTAATCTATAGTATTTTTCATATAAATGGTACCTCTCATATGCAAAGCTTAATTCCCCATTTTGCCTTGTATTATTTTAAATAAGTACCAATCTGTTAACATGATATATAAAATACATGTAACTTGACATTATCTTTATGTATTAACTGATATGCATTATAAACTTTTGTGTTAAAATTATTACATGTTTTCAACATTTGTTATAATGCATGTATCATTCTTATGAGATACTTTGGGCTTAATAAATTTGTTATTAATTAAAATACTGTCTTCGTCATTTCCAGGGCAAAAATCGACTCCGACCTATATAGGTTGCCCCGGGCTCATTGTCGGCCCAGTTGCTTGCGAGCGTAGTAAAAACGCTTCATAAAACATTTGTGCAGAATGATCAGGCTTTATACATTTGGCTAATCCAACTCCAAATTTTCATCTGCATATAATTTCTAGGTGTTTTTCACAAATGGGAGCTGGACAAATCCGTAATCTCACACTTACTATTAGCTAAAGAGAATTCAGCGAACAGGTTTTATAGTATGGTCGCACAAAGTCAAAAAAATGTGACATATATAAAGTTATGGAAGCCAGAACTAACTTTTAATTGTTGACCTGGTAAATAAAGAAATTCATATAGTGTTTACATGATTTACTTACGCACAATGAATACAATAGAACTGTCCGGCACCTGGTCTGTCATAGTCTGTCTCTTGATTCAACAATTTCTGTGCTTTAGCTGGCTTCATATCCTCGTGTATTTGATCCAAATCTTTCGTTTTACGTTTGGTTCTGTATTTTTCCTTTAATGGTTTATCTCCCTTGTGTTGTTTCTTTCTGGCAATCCTACCCATTATTACGCCTGTAAAATCTTGTTCTGAAATATACAAATAAAATTGATAGTAACAAACAAATCACTTAAAATCTTAATCATTGTTACACAATTTAACGAATAACAGTCAAATCTGCACCCCAAGTCAAACAGGCCTCAAGTTAAACCGGCCTCAAGTCAGAACAGCCCTCTTTTTTTTAAATTTTTATTTTTTCATTAATTTTATTTATCATAAATGTTGCATTCTATATTGATAATTACCAATGGAGTGATAATTAATTACCAACAGAGTGTACAGGCAGACGCAATGACAAACCACGGATTACAAAAGAAAAGAAACAAATGATAATCAATGTATTTATTTTCTGAATAAAACCATGCAAACATAGCTCTTCCATGTACTTAAAAAATCGACTTTTGGTCGATCTGACTTTGGGTGGACTTGATTTTTCAAAAATGTATTTAGGCCGATTTGACTTAATATGAGGCCGATTTGACCTTTTTTTGGCCGATTTGACTAATTTTGGGACCAATTAGACCTGGAGCTGATATGACTTGGCGTCATTAAGATATTTATCCGAATTAAATTTTAGTCGAAAATACATCTAGTTCATAAATTTATTACTATAAATAAATAGTTTAATGAGGCTTCTTTAGTTAAAAGTATGAAAAGACGACACTTCTATATTTTCTTTTACTGATTTAAACCTTACCAATTGACAGTAAACAGATATAAGAAACAGAGGCACGTGTTATTTGTTTTTATTTTGTAACCGGTGCAGCAGTAAAAAAATTGAATCGTGAAGATCAAATGAAACGCAGACGTCTAAATATGTTATGGTCACACTATAACAGTAGAGAGTACAGTATTGTATACATATTTTATAACATGGCACAACTATATCATTTAAAATCTAGAATTTACAATAAAAAAAAAACATGCATAATATTTTTACCCCTGATCGGTTCCTTGACTGATAAATAACAATAAATTTTAATTAGTCTTATCTGTTACTAGAAGACAAACTTATTTCTAGTATAAATTGCTCATTATTATTAAAGGGGGTTAAAGAGCGGAGTGCAATATGATTTTTATTTTGTTTATGTTATGGATGATAACCTTTCTCGTTTACACTCAAATCAGAAAAGTCGATCATTGTGAATGGAGCAGTGGGTCCCTAAGTGAGTATATTTAAGCACGAACACTTCTATAAATATGACCTGATCTGATCTGATCTGATACTGATACGATCTAGTAACCCAGATCTGGTGTGCCGCTGTATTAAGATAGCTTCTTGATTTAAAGTAAATTACTGTAAATTAAACACATAAAATGGCATGCTCAAAGCATATAAAACAAACTGAACATTTTACATGATGAATAAAAGTTCTTGATTAAAAATATATATGTTGGCATACAGTAAATCTAAAGATTTTTTTTTGTAAAAAATATCAATGATTGTTAAAGTGCTAAATTTTGACAGTCCTGAATGTCATTAAACACTAGTAGTCTACTAATGTTCTTGACTTTGATTTGTAGCAATGCTATCTATTTCTATTTTGAGAATGTAATATAGAATCAGTGTGTCATATTAACTGTGTATGCGTCCATAAGTAAGAATATCACATTTGGACGTTTATAGTATATATCAGCGTTCTTTATTTTAAAACCAGCTTCACATTTCTACAAAGAATACGAGTATAACATACTGCACACAAACGTTTTACAGTTACTTCCCTTATATAGTATGGTGAAGGGGGAAATAAAAAGGTGACATATTTAGTGCGTTCATGCCTTAAATAACCGTCATATTGCAAAAATAACGGAATACTATGGTATGGTGGCTGATTTGTTACATTTTTGTGCGTTGCGTTGTCGCTAGAATACAGTCCAAGCCACAAAATCTTATCGTCATCATTGGAGTATTTTCGTTTTGTTAAAAATCGTATTTTTCAGACGATGTCATTAAACACACATTTAATATCGTGAACCAATCTTATCAGTGACATAATTCATAGATGGACATTCTTTATGTGGTTACTTTGTAAGCTCCTCCTTTTGGACATTACTTTTCTTAAATAGATCTTTAGAAATAAGTGTACAAATTGAAGCTTAAACTTCAAAGGGAAAATTTTCAATTTTACTTTAAATCGAATGAACTTATGTTAAAAATTTTCTTGCGGATTTTACAAATAATTAAATTTCGTTTATTACAATGTCATCCAAAAGGGCATTTGAACACAAACGCCAGTGAATAAAATGTTCAATTGATTTTTAAGCTTTAAGACGACAAAAAGTCACGTGGACATATATTGGCACCAGACAGCAACAAACAGCGCATATTAAACATCTAATTTATAGAAATGTAAATAACGTTAGCTGGCACACCACAGAATCTGTATTCTTTCCTGTCCATTAATTAATTAGGGAGACAGTCATAATATTTGCACTTCTTAAAACTATAATTGAATTTCGTTTCAAAAACGTGTTGCTCTTAATGTCAAACTATTGAACGTAGACTTTGTACAAATATTCAACGTTTTAATCACTTAATGAGCAAAATGTTTTGTAAGAATTACTCGTGTTGACGTGATAAAGCATGGTGAATTCAGTTGCATAACAGTTTTTAAATGAAGTTTACTGAGGTCCCAAAGCCTAAACACATAAAATTTGAAATTCTTACATAGACTAACTAGGGCACTTAAACAGGAAGATATGCAAAAGAAAAATAAGAAATAGACTCAGAAATAAATTTGATATATAGATAAACGTACTTCTGTGTTATTCTTAGACAGATTTGAGTGAAAAGCGTTGCAACGCTTTTCGCAAAGGAGTGAAAAGCGTTGCAACGCTTTTCGCAAAGGAAATATATCATGAATAAATTTTGACCTTTTCTCATTCTTTGTCTTAAGAGACCGTTGAATTAAGCGACCATTTCCATTTTGAGTGTTTCACTTGCTCGGTCGCATAATACAAGTTTGACTCTAATGCCAAAACTATAAAACGGTCATGATTTGACCCTTGACCTCCAAGTACGGAATTTAACTTGAAAGTGCAGACGCTGGTTTTACAAGTAATATATTGTCTATTAAGTTATGATGATTAAGTGTTCAAATTTTGTTTCAAATCCCATCATGCAGTCAGAACTTATACACGAGCTCCGGCTGCACTTAAGACTATATAACAAATAAATTCAGTTCAAGCCCTTGCTATGACATCGACCATTAATTAAGCTAGGACTTGGATCTTGCATGCAACACATCGTTTACTTATGGCGATCATCCGCACAAATTTGTTTTGAAATCCCATTATGCATTTTGAAGATATGGATCGGATACGAAACATATGATTTGTGAAAGCACACACGCACGCAAGTAGCGATCGTTCGAATACGCATATACATAGATAGCAAAGTAAACAGTATATGCATCTATACCATTTATGACAGGGGCATAGAACCCCGTACAATATAGCAACTTAAGACAAATTGTGAAATATATGCACCATAATTATGAATTTTTCGCTTCGTTCAATTTGATATTCATTTTCTGTTTACTTTCGAGGATATTGAAAACATCATTGAAATGTAGACCTAAATCAATCAGATTAGAGAGAGAAAGTAAATTAATCGGCTAACTTTATTTGCATTGCACCGAATATCTAGGTAATTTGTAAAACATCTATCGTGACTAGAGATTGTGAAAAGACCGATAATGCATTGAGAATATAATATTTAATATGCACTCCATTTCAGTCAATGAATATTGTCATTAATATGATGTGAAATCAATGAATATAAGAAATTGAAACTGGTTCATTTAATAGTTGAAATGGTTTATTTAACGAACACGCCCATAGACATGCTGACAACATAAATAAATAAATGAAGAACGAAAAGTTTATCCTGATTCTAAAGACCAGAACGTGGTGGTTCTTCTTTTTTGTTTCAGTGTAAAACTTTTGGTACTTTACAGAATAGAAAATATTCAAACCATCTATAATTGTATTAAAAACAAAGAATAAAATCTTTTTAGCTTAACTTTTATTTGAAAAAAAAAAGGCATCGTGTGTTTCCCGTTGCCGTACACAAACTTAAGCATCCATCATATATTAATGTACTTATTGGCGTCCGCGAACATAGGTGTTTGGCGCGTTGATTGGTCACTACCCCCAGGCCCCCGCCCCCGCCCACTCTACAACCCTCTTATTTCTCAAAACCATGTAAAATGTAGTATTTTTCATTTAAAACATGTCTAATATTTGGTATATGCTTTTTATTCAATTACCTTCATTTCCCACAAAAAAAAGAAGATATATATACATGTACATGTATATGTATATTTAGTAAAGGTATGCAACTCGCCGCTCATTTTTCAGCACTCATCTTAATATGAACTCCAAAACTCCAACATTTTTTCACCAATTTTCAATGTTTTGGTACCAAATGGTAGGGTATTGATTACTCTTAATGGAAATAAAGCTGTCATTATGATTCATTTCAAGTTATAAGAAGATATGTAATCTCGAAGTCACCGCAAGTGTAATTTGACAGAGACCTGACCGCTGGGTTTTTGTCAAAATTACCCGACTAAACGCAGTTTATTCGAGATGAATGAATATTTTTTTGTATTGTGCATATAAATATGATCAAATTATATTATTATTTGTAATAACTGTTAAATCAAAACATCATATAAAATTATAACGAATTACAATTCTGGTAAAAAACAATTAACCATTGAAAAGTATATCTGGTCATCAGATGTCTATTAGTTCATCTTCACTTGCTTCATTTCTTACTTGGACGCCCTTTGTTGCAAAGAGCATCAATGCTTTTCTTTCTGGATTGTCTTCATATTCAGACACATTAACCTTCAAGAAGGCCAGACTGAACTTGACATTGACTAAAATTACCTTGACATTCAAAGTGAAATTATTGAACTTGGCTTGATTTTTGCTATAACTGGCCATAAATTTGTAATTTATGAATGGATTGTCAAAATGTAATTTTACTTTTGATAAAACATTTTTAAAACAACATCTAAAAGAAGATCGAACTGAATTTGAGGGCGACTTATTTATAAATGACTTTGACCGTGATTGCCAAATTATTGTAAATTATCACTGTTTTGCTATAACTGGCAATTAATGAATGGACTGTCTCTTTCTTGGTCCCAATCAACCCGAAGGACACAAACTTTAGGACAGTAAAACAAAAAATGACCATGACCTTTGTGAAATTTTGACAAAATTGTCTATAAATTTGATATTTCTTGAGTCTTGACAGATTTGATTAAAAAAATTTGGGAAAAACCAACGAAAAAACTTTGGGAAAAACTACGACATAAATCATTCAATTATGATCTTGACAATTAAATGCCATTGACTTTGAATGTGGAATTATTGCGCATGACATAGTATCTCTTTTGCATGTCTTAATTGTCTCGTGCGCACGACTTAGTAACTCGTGCGCACGTCATAGTATCTCGTGCGCATGACATAAATAAAAACACACACATATGTCACCTTTGTGCCACCGTACAAAACCAACATATTGTATTATTCATAAATTTGGCAGTGCACAGGTTACATCGTACTTAATACGAAAAGCACAACGAGGTTACGCCTATAATTGCATTTTTTTACATACATTACTTATATGTGATTATTATGTTTCCCTAGGCATGATCTTAAAGTTTGTAATCAAGGTTAATACTTTTGTACTGTACAAAGGGTACAATCTATGATAGTAATTTAATTACCATATACAATATAAAGAAAGTATATAGTGATTAATGATAGATTAAATCCGAATGA